CCGGGGGTGAAACCCCTATCGCAGCGTGGGCCCCGGGGATCCCCGAGTGACAACCCTGCTCTCCGCCTTCGTGTCACGGTCCAGATGTTTCTGTTCTCGCTCTACTGTGTCCGTTGAAGTCCCCGTCTCCAGATAAGAAATGGTCACCCTCATCTTATTTGTAACCCCGTCCCTTTTACACCTCCTCTTTGCCTGGTCCTTGGCCTCTGTGATGGCCAGCTGCAGCCCCTAGTCGGTTCTCATTTATTCCTCCTTCCCTGTTCAACTTTAGCCTAAGCTCTCGATTACAACGACTATAGTACAGCATAGCCGTTACCGCGGGTCCTTCCCCTAACATCCGCTCCCACCTCCAGGTGTACTGGAGGTGCTTCGGCCTATAGCCATACAGTCCGTTGCTCCGACCGTTGTCGAGTCTTCTCTCGAGTGGGTTGCATAGGACCCGGCTACCAACTGGTGTTCAGAGTTTGCACACACATGCAAGTCTACGCGCTCACTCCACCTGCTCGACTCTTTCTCACCCGTGCCCCATGTAACGAGACTGCCTACGCCCAAGTAGCAATCGGCAGACCCTCTCCCCCTTTTATAGGATTATTACTCATCGTGATCCCCGAGTTCCGAGTGAGAGACCCAAGTAACTTTCATAGCTCTGCACTTTTAATCGATTGAATTTCAAAATTTAATAAAACATGATAAGCGAAACAAAGAAATGAATGGAAGGAGGGACGAGTGATATGACACCAACGGTCATAGCGTCGGCTTCTATTATCAATCACTAAAATGCTCTTTCTCGAGCATGAAAGTGACCCGCAGACCGGGCGCGATGATCCCATAACGGGATACCGACGGATTCCTGTCCTTCTGTAAAACCTGCAGTCGGCCTACGACTATTGGATGCCCATGTCCGATGGTAAGGAGGGGCCTTATGACCTTCCGTGGGACGTGATAAGCCTTCTACCAAAGCGGCCACGGGTCACCCCTCTTTTGGGGTCCCACTGCGCGGCGCTCAGCCAAGCAAATCATTCAGAGGAATAACTGAAAGGCCAGGCCCATCTGGGCCTTCACACGACTATCAAGGTTCAAAAAGGAACCATTGGCCTACCCTATGAAGTGGAGGAGATCAAAAGGAAACCGGGCCGATGAAATCGGTAAAATAATAATAACAATTATAATAGTAGTAAAAAAAAGAAAAAGAACTTAACGATACAGTGACCAGACGTCACTAGGATTGCTCTGATTTAAAACAAGGGCCCTGATCTGCTTGAGATCAAACGCTTAGCTTTTTTTTTCACTTTTACATATTTTGCTTTCTTGTATTTCTTTTGTTTAGCCTTTTTCTTTTTGACAGTGACCTGTCTCGTGCGCCTAACCCATAATCTGGCAGAGGGGCACTCAGCGCGCAGTAGAAAAGACCGCGCCAGTCCCTCTACCTTTGAGTCCCTGGGCGAGCCCGATGACTACCACGGCCACATGCCGGTAGTGCTTTGCTGTACAGCAGGGCACCGAGCCTGCGTGGACCAATGGAAAGTCAAGTGGCGCAACCTTTTGTAGGGGCAAGCGCCAACTGGACCGGTCCTTGGCAAGGTATAGCCCGACCTACAAAGCGAAGTGTGGAGGCCCTGGAACTACCCGACAAGCCGCAGACGTCAAAGCTAGGCTGGTACCGAGCGGAAACTTGGCATAGGAGGGCCGGGACACAGTGCCCTCCGACAGCGTCCGAGGCAGTGTATCCTCTCCAACCTCTATCACTTCCTCTATCACTTCCTTTTTCACTCTCTCTCCCTGAGCACCCCGTTCCGCCTTTTGCCCTGGCTTATGGACCTCCTCTCGTGGTACATCTCTAACCGGCTCATCACACCTCCCATCAGCCTGATGCACCCTCCATCGTGATATGTCCAGGTGCGCCTCCAGCTCCTGCAATGGTCCTCCAGACGGCGACATCTCCTCTTGCGCGAGCTGAGGGGATCCTCTCAATCCTCCGTCAGTGAAACGATGAAACACCATCCGGCCAAGTCCGCACTCAGGATATGCTCCTCGCTCCTCAACCTCAGGTACTGACTCCTCCCGCCTAGCAAGTGCCTTCCGTCCTCCTCGATATGAGATGGCCTCCCTGGCCTCAGGTCCCCTCTGCCTCTTGCTCCTTTGCCGCCTCTCAACCCTAGGTTGAGGTGGCTTTGGTCGTCGAAAAACCTCTCTCAGATGTGCCCTGCAGCTTGCCCAGTCTCGAGCCATATTCGTGATTTGACTGACCAACAGTCTCTCCGCCTTCCTAGTCCATAGAGGTAGTGTCAACGCCCACTCATCTCGTAATATGTTCTGTTCGTGCATAAACTGCTCAAAAGCAGGGATGAACTCCTCCACATTCACAATCTTTAGGCGGATAGGCACGCCGTCTGGACCCATGGGCGATGGCCTCAGCTCCGACATACTCAACTCTATTTCTGGCCAAGTCCTTGCCTCTCTACGAATCCGTGCGATGGGCTCCTCAAATCTTCCAACTCCCCTCAACCTCTCTGTCCTCTGTGCCACCGTCCAGCCCATGTGCTCCGCATGCCCTCGAAACTCGTCTAGGAAGAGCTCTATATCCCCGTCATCATATACGGACGTGTTCTCCCTCTCGTGAGAGTCCGTGAGACCCATGTCGCTCGTAACCCCCTGATGCTCCCCATGGCCTCCGTGTTGGCTGCGTTTCCCTCCCTCCTCTTGGCATGGCTGTCTTCATAAAGTCAGACCTGCACAACAGGTGAAGGAGACCATAGGCACACCACGGGGATTAGCAAACAGGCAGCCAGGGTTCACTCAGGTCAAAAGGCATGCACACATCCTACTCATGCATTCTACTATCTCACGTCTTTCTAGGACCTAACTACAATCATTTTCTTCATACATAAGGTCCTACTATGAAGGGGTTAGAATTCCTATCTCACCTTCTTTCTTGCCACAAACTTCTTCAGCCTTGTTCCTGACACCCAATCCTTTCACTGTGTTCCATCCAACTCCTCAATCTGGTAGGCGCCGAAATCCTCACATCGCACAATCCGATATGACCCTAGCCACCTTTTATCAAGCTTTTTAGACCACTGCTTCTCAAGGGACGAGTCACACCGCAGCACCACATCCCCGACTTTCAATGGTGCCTTTCGTACGTGGACCAACCGGTCCCAACCAGCCTTGTCATCCATGCGGCTCTTCTCCACTTGATTGGACGCCTCCCGAATCCTCTCCACAATCACACCCACTTGTCGCGCCCGAATATCGAGCAACTCCTCGAAGGACAGGTTGGTTTCTAAGTCTTGACGTCTCCAAGTTTTCAGGAAGCTCTCAATTGGGAAAGTAGCATGCCTTCTGTACCATAGCGTGGTTGACGCGTACTCAGTGGTCCTGTTCACCGTAATGTTTTTGACAAAAAATGTCGCCCTCAGGTACCTTGGCCATTGATTGGGCCTACCTTCAGTCCACTTGGGCAAAAGGTTCGTGATGGTGCTATGTCCCCTCTCAACAAGAGCATTTGCCTGGGGATGTGCTGTCGTGGTATAATTGGCTACCATGTCGTATCCCGACAACAATTATTGTACCTCCTTACAAGTAAACTCTGATCCTCTATCCATCACGAGTTCCTTGACGAAGGGATAACACAAATAGTATTTCTCGATGCAACTTACCAACATTGAGCCGGTCTTTGTACCAATGACACGACCATCTACAAAGCCAGAAAGTTTGTCTCGCGCATCGAAGATGTAACTGTAGCCATGATCCCCAATCGGCACCAACAGTAAATTGAGATGCATTATGACACTTATTTCCCTCCCTAACCTTGGATGCAGCGGCTCTGCTTACCTCTGAGGAGCCCTTTCTTGACAAGGTACACAGATAATACAGGAGCGGTAGAACTTGTTAATCATCTTCATCATCTCATCCCAATAGTATAGCTTGTTTTTGGCATACATGACACTAACTTATCGATGCCCTCCTGCAATGCCATCATGAAGCGCGGCTATAACGTTGATCTGATGGTTCCTCCTGCATACAACCCTTTTGGGGCGCCCTACTTGCGTCCTCCTCATTTTTTTAGCCCTTTTGCTAGCATCCCTATCCTGTATCTCAGACGATAAGCGAAGTCCCAACTCCAGGTAAATCCTATCATACTCTTCTGCACGGAACGTCATTTTGATCTCCTATTCCTCAAACTCGTCATCCTAGCTTTCCGACACAATATCTTCATTCCCAGTCAGATTCAACGAGCTCACTTGATAAAAATTGCTCTGCAAAAGCGTATTGACGAGGATGTACATTCCCCCAATCAACTCCTCCTGCTTCTCTACTTGGTCCGACCCTTCTTCTATCGTTCTCATCTCCTCCACCAGACTATGTGTGCCTGCCAGCGCCAACTTCATCATCCATTGGACATCTTTGCCGCCCCATGGGTCCTCTTCCTCAAAATGCTTGAGCACCAGCTCCGCCCTTTGCTCATATCCCCTGGGTGCAAGCCAGATGGGATGGCCAACGCAATTCGGCACTCGAAGGGACCACTTGTTAATGTGAAGGCGGACGTCTTCCACCTGCTCTCAGAAGCCATCAACCGGTGGTGTGTCCTCTATTGCCTCTCCTTTTTGCTTATTAGCCCATCTACCCTATTCGTATTCCCTGGAATCCGTTCCAATTCGAAATTAAGCATCCAGATGTACGTCAGCCATCTGGCGACAGTTGGATCCGATGGAACGTAATTTCTCAGTGAATAAGCGAGCGCAGTTGGGTCTACCCTTAATATGAACCTTCTGCCAAATATATAATTTTGGAAAATCCTCAGGCAGTGAAAGACAGCGAGAGTCTCCCTCTTAAACTGAGAGTAATTTCTCTCGGTCATACAAAAAGTTCGGCTATCGATCCTTAGTGGCCTCTCCTTCCCCTCTATATCTGCCTGAATAAGGACTCCCCTTAAGGCAGTCGGTCCAGCGTCCATCTCAACGATGAATGACGTCACCTCTGTGGCCTCATAGTCCGGTGCTCCTAATACCAACCTTCCTTCTCGAAATTCCTCCTTCATCCCTGCCACAACCTTTTCCTTCGTCACTCTCCTTCTCTCTCGGCCCCTTTACCGCCAAGTCGTCGATATATGCTGAGTGATGTGCGGGCTGACTGTCTGCATGGCTCGAATCATATGTCGTTGAACCATCGCCACCGCATTTGTCCATCCTTGTGGAGCCATATTCATATGGATCAGCCCTCGGGGCATATGCATCGCTGTCACTGGTCTGCCGGGCGGATAGACCGGAATCTGGTCATATCTGGAGTAAAGGTCTATAAGCGAAATTATAGGTTTCTCGGCACATGACTCTAACATCGCGTCGGCATTTGGCAAACCTCCCACATCTCGCATAGTCACAGTGTTCAGCCGCTGCAAGTCCTGCACCCAACGCAAAGTCCCATTAGGTGTAACAAAGCAAAACCATAGAGACCCATACGGACCACTCGACTAATCGGCAGCATGCGTACATATCTTGTCGTCGAGATAGTCCACCACCTTCTTCTCCTCGGCAGGGTTAGGATACCGCGCTCCCTAAAATTTCATTGCTCATGTGGCACGATATGGATTCGGATCATAGGAATCTTATCTACGTCCAATCTCTCGCGTTCATCGTCATCGAAGGCATAAGCGCCTATGTATCCCCAGCGGCCGCGGTCACCGTGGGCATGACCGCGGCCCGCGGTCGAGGCCGCGGGGCCGCGGTCATGACCGCTGCGGCTGCGGTCGAAATCGGCACACTGCGATGAAGGGGAGGGGGGTCCTGCTGATCGGGGTCGGGAGTCCGACGGCGCAACCAGAACCCCACCCCCCCCCATTGAAAAAAAACAAAAAAAATACAAAATGGGGGGGTCCATTTCAGGAGGGG